ATCTAGAAATCTTCTGGAAATTTGATTTTTTTTATGGAAATCTTCCGAAAATAATGCGAAAATGTTCCGGAAATTTATTTTTTCTAACACTTGCTCTGAAAGGAGTACTTTTCTTGGTAGAAAAGTGTGGCGAAAGTAGAACTTTTCTCAACTGCTCTGAAGAGCGTGGCGAAAGTAAAATTTGGCGTGGCGAAAGTAACTCATGAATTTATTCTTTTTTCTTGTTCTTTGACCGAGATTTATTTTGTATCTAGCTTCTTCCCCATTTAAAACATTCGTCTTTTATTATATTAAACATAAGCAGACGTTAAATTAAAATTATACGAAACTCACGAAGAAACCTTTCCTCGCAAGGCGTTGGAGAAAACGTAGTGCACAACTCGTGGTGAAAGAATGTACTATTTTTTTACGAAAATCATTCGGATATTTATTTTTTTGAACAGAAATCATCTGGAAATCTTCTGAAAATAATGCGGAAATGTTCCGGAAATTTATTTTTTTTACGAAAATCATCTGGAAATTTTCCAGAAACTTTCCGGAAATTAATTTTTTTAACGGAAATCATCTAGCAATCTTCCGGAAATTTATTTTTTTTATGAAAATCTTTCGGAAATAATGCGGAAATGTTCCGGAAATTTATTTTTTTTTACGAAAATCATCTGTAAATTTTCCAGAAACTTTCCGGAAATTCATTTTTTTAACGGAAATCATCTGGAAATCTTCCGGAAATAATGCGAAAATGTTCTGGAAATTGATTTTTTTTAACGGAAATCTTCCGGAAATTTATTTTTTTAACGGAAATCAGCTGGAAATCTTCCGGAAATTTATTTTTTTCACGGAATTCTTCCGGAATTTTTGTTTTTTACGGAAATCATCTGGAATCTTACGGAAATTGGTTTTTTTTACGGAAATCATCTAGAAATTTTCCGGAAATTGATTTGTTTTATGGAAATCTTCCGGAAATAATGCGGAAATGTTCCGGAAATTGATTTTTTACGTAAATCTTCTGGAAATTGATTTTTCTTTACGGAAATCATATCAGAAACTTTCCGGAAATCTTCCAGAAATTGTTTTTTTTTACGGAATTGACTTCGGAAACTTTTAGAAAATATTCCGGAAATTGATTTTTTTTACGGAAATCACTTTGGAAACTTTCCGGAAATTGATTTTTGTACGGAAATCATCTGGAAATCTTCCGAAATATAATTTTTTACGGAAATCACTTCGGAATTGCTTCTGTGAAACGCAGTCGATGAGGTTATTGAATAAAATCTTTTACAAAAAATAATCATTGTTTTTGAGATATTCCATTGGTAACAACTGCACAAAGTTACAATAACTGCACCTAGTCTTCTCTATGGGGAGCATCTAAGATTAATTTTTCAAAATATTTCTGTTTTCTATTAAATTTTATCAAATTTGAGAAATATCCCGTGCAGAAATTTTGACCTGGCCCTGACCGGGCAAGACCGGGGCCACTTCGGGAAATCTGACCTGCCCCCGACCTGAATGAAACAATAAAACCGACCGGGGCCATGTCTCGGGCCAGATCTGCTTCCCGACCGACGCCATGGAATTTTGTCCGATTTGACTGCTATTGAAATTTTTGGGGTATAGGGTAAACAATATAGTAGTCGGCTACCAAACAGTAGTCATCCGCCTAATAATTTAGAGTGGATATTGGTAAAAAATTTTAACAGTATATGGGCAATTCCACGTGAGATTTAAGTCAACCTCTTAAAATCGGCCAAAAATATTTTTTTTCTATTCTGTATCGAAAAAAACAGATACGTTTTTTTTTATTTTTGTTTAATTGTCAAAATTTTCAGTCATGAATTTTCGAAATTTTGGACTTTTAATTGTAGACTTATATTCAGTAGCTTATAACTCAGAAAATATTGAGTTTAGGAAAAAGTTGTCAAAGAATGAAAGTTTTAGTTTTCTTGCTACTTTTAAGAAATTCAAACAAAAAAATTTTTTTATAAACAAATTAACTTTTTTTTAACTTTGGGCCGGATTTTTTCTCATTTGTTTAAATTTATTTATACCTTATAATATAGACAAGATTTTCAAAAAAGACCTGAAATGGGCCTGATGTGTTAAATGAGTTTTAAAACATTTTCAAAAATCCCACTGTGATACTTGCAAGTGATTTTTGAAAATGTTTTAAAACTCATTTAAGGAGGTTGTGTACTAAAATGAAAAAGGTTAAAACAATTTGAAATATTTTTTATTTTATTCACTGGAACTGCACACAGGTGTACTTCAAATATGAAAATGATTGACCGTGTAGTTTTTGAAAAAATTTGAGTGAAAGTTCCTATTTTATACATGGGTTCTTATGGGGCAGGGCGCTAAAGTCAGAGAAAAATATTAATAAATGTGCCTAAAAAAGGTTACACTCTTTTAAAAAACTTTGAATTGAATAATAGAAACATTTTTGGTTATAAATATTTAATAATATTGTGTTTTTACCGCATCGTATGAAAAATATTTAAAGAAAACGAACTAAAAATCATGCATTTGGCAAAAATTTTCCTCAGAGGCAATGAAACCGCGGCAACACTGTAAAATGATCAACGTGGGAATTTTACCGCGAGAATTCAAAAATACAGTAGAGCCATTCTATTTAAAAATGATCCCTTAAGGCATTAATTATTTGGTGTTAATTAAATAATAATAATAAAAATAATTAAAAACGTTCGATGGTTTTTGAAATTTTTAGGTTATGTGCGACTTACAGTTATCGCCCAAAAAAACGTCATTACCTGTTTGAAATAACGTGAAATTAGTAAACAACCGATTTCGAACGAGTTTTTCTCTGCACACAGGCACTTTTTACAAAATCAGACATCGTACATTTGTCACAAATGTTTTTAATTTTCTGAATTCAAAAGATTTTGTTAATCCATGCAGAAACGCGGTTGCAGGATTGGAAATACAAAAGTAATGTAATGACAGGCGGCAAGACGTATGTTACAGCCATTTTGCCAGTAGAGGACAGAAGCATGCAGAAGCGTAAAGGCTCAGCTGTCAAAATGATTCGCATTACATTGCTATGGTAATTCCAATACTGCAACCGTGTTTCTGCATGGATTAACAAAATCTTTTGAATTCAGGTAATTAAAAACATTTGTGACAAATGTACGTTGTCGGATTTTGTAAAAAGTGCCTGTGAAAAGAGAAAAATTTGTTAGAAATTGAATGTTTACCAATTTCACGTCAGTTAAACCGGTCAGTGACGTATTTGCTGGGTCGCACATTATCGAGAAATTTAAGAGACCATCGAACACTGTTATATAATTAATTATTAATTAAATAATAAATATTAATATGGTAGTAATTAGTCTTTAAGGTATTTTTAAATAATTATTTTACTTACTTAATAAAGTCAAATATAGTTTTGTTATGAGCAATTTAAAAAGAGAAATTTCTGAACTTTGTGATGGTAAAAAGATTTTTTTTTAAAAACAAGTCTTCAATTTTAATGAAATGTATGTCAAAACAAAGCTTAAATATTTTATTATTTATTTCCACAAAGCGAATAAAGAACATTTCAGGAGATTTTGAGAAATTAATTTAAATTCATATGAATTTTAAAGGTTAAAATTGTCAATTTCACTTAAAAAACAACGCAAAATAAATGCATAAACGTGTGCATGGGATAGAAAAGGATAATTTAATTTTATTAAAAAAGAGAAACAATTATTTAAAAAATACCTTACATTGCCAATTGTTTACTAACAGGGTCATTTTCAAATAGAGTGCCTCAGTAAAATCTAAATTTCTATCTTTATTAAATATATAATTTTGCAATATCAATTATCGAATAAAAGACTCTTAGAATTAAACAGGGTGTCTAACGGTCAGGGAAGTAAAGGAAAAGTCAGAGAATTTTTTTGGTCAGGGAGTGTCAGAGAATTTCATTCGAAGTCAGGAAAATTTCTAAAAAATTTTTGTGAATGAAAAATCTGTTTAATCTACCAAAACTTAGAAAATTTTTATTATCGTTTGTTTCTATCATTAGATATTAATTTATTATTAAATATGTCAGCTACTATATTTTTATCCCAAGAAAGCAGAAATAAAATTAGTAAAAAGTCAGGGAAAAGTCATAGAAAAGTAAGAGAATTTTTTCCTGAATCCTTGTTAGACGCCCTGATTAAAGGAATGAAATGAAATGCAATAAAAAATCAGAATTTCATCAACTTAAATATTTTTAATAATAATTACATTTTATTTCAATTTTCAGGTACATAACTTAACCTTAATCACGATTCTTTAATAGCAATAAAGTTATAAAAAGCATAATATACTTTCAATAATACTTTGGATAATTTAATACTTTTCGTGTTGTTAAATTAAACTAGTTAAATTTAAATATTTATAAAAATGTAACTTAATATTGCTTTTTTCTTTTAATCTAATAACTTTTAATAGTTTTAACATTTTCATAACATTATTCATTATATGATAAATTTTTAAACTGAATAACTATTTTTGAAATAAAATAATTTTTTTAAAATATTTTTTTAAAAATAAAACTTAGTCTACTTATTCATAGTTTAATATACTTCTCTTGATATTAAAGGTACTCACGCTAATTTTTAAAATGCTTTATAACTTTATTTAATATAGTTTTACTCTTTATCAGTTGAGCTTTTCCTTCACACCCTTTTTGAAGTAAGTCTACCATATCCTGCTCACTTCTTTGGTAACTTTCTGACAATAAATTATATGTCAGATTAGCCGCAGCCAATCTGTTGAGCATCATTTTTGATAATACTGTTTCTATGGGTTGTAATGTTTGTAAAACTTTTTTGGTTCGGTGCTTCTTATGTTTATTTCCGCTAAGAAATCTAAAGTTTCCACATTTTGTATTAGTTCATCATCAGAAAAATTAGAAGCAACTAATTTTTCTAACAATTCAACATCAAACATAGCATCGTGTGCATTATCACAAGGTAAATTTAGGAGATCACTAGCCAATGTTGTAAGTTTCAATTGTCCTTTTGATTTTCTATCCAAAATTTTTTTCTAAACAATGGAAGAGTGTCAGAAAATCCAAAAACAACTGCACTAAATTGAGGTAAAATAGAAAGTTCTTCTATTTTCTTTAAAAGACGTAGAGCATCAAATTTGGAGTTATGTGCAACTAAAACACATTTATTTCCAAAACCTTTTAAGTACTGCAGTAATTCTTGAAAAACAACTTTTAGTGGTGACGATGAAACTCTAACTCCATGGAGACGTAATTCGCCACTTTCATAAATCAGACCATGCACTTCAGATGCTTTAGGTTGTATGCGTTTCGATGGATCATTGTACTTATTAAACTCTGTAGAATTACATTTCATGGCAATTTGTAAGATATCATCCGTCATACTAAATCCTCCTGTTTCCAAATCGAAAAAAACTATTTCGAAAGAAGTTGAGATTGAACTATTACTATTCGTGGGACAATTTAAATTACTAGAAGGAACAGCGGGCATTTCGAACAATCCGATGTCGCTTACATATGTATCGCCTTCTTTTGCTTCTTTTTGATACTTCAGTTGCAATCTTTGTTTCTTCAATTTGTGTCGGTTCAGCTTGAAAGATCGCGTTTTAGCTTTTATTGATCTCAATTTTTGCAGATTTATTAACTCTCTGAATATGCTTCGTTAAATTCGACCCAGGACTTAAACTGTACTTTACCAAAACATTCTGGACATATTGTTTTCCGACATTCTTCTGCCCAACAGCACTGGCTGCTTGAAAATCGTACGATTCTGAAGTACCATATAAAGTACCTTTGGGAGCTTTTTTAGGCAAAATATTATTGAGACTTTCATTAGACTGCGTTGATGCACCAGCTGCAAATGTGTCAGCATTGTTGGCAAGCTTGTTGAAAATTTCTTTCAATTCGTCAAAGAGAACAAGGCTTTTCAAACCACCGATGATTGTAGAATGTTCGTAATTTTCTTTATTTTTCACATATCCACACTAATCTCCTGTTCCTTATTGTATAACCAATAACTTTTCCCGACTCCGATCCAATAATATGACCGAAGCCTGACAAACTGTCATACTGACGCCCAGAACCTCTTGTACACCAGCCCATATCATAACTAGCGAACAGTCGAACTTTCTCATTACTATTTTCATTATAATTATTATTTTGATCTGATATATATTCTTTTGATGAATTCAAACGATCTGGTGTAAGGAATGTTGATTCGGTGTCTTCTGGCCTAAAGTAAAATATATTGTGTGATTATCTTCCTCTTAAGAAATAAAAGTTTTTATTAGATTTTCATATATTTCTTTATATTTAAAAATTACAAATAGATATTGAAAAATGTACAACTTTTTAATTTCAAATTATAATATTATAATTATAAATATAAATTAAAATATAAATACGTAAATATGTTACAAACTATTGACAGAGTTGATTAGATTTTGACATTTTTATATAATATGTCTTGTACAAAAGGCATAGGCGGACATTTTTTTTTTATTATTGTTGTTCTGTTAATTCCGCTTTTATATTGAAATAGTCTTAAATTCTTAACTATTAACGCAGGATAACCGCAGAGAAAAGCAGAAAGTCGCATTAGCGACAGAGTTGGAGCGCCACCCTCGAAGGCTAAAGTCTTACGACAGTTCCGAGGGAGGGTAAAGGGCTCCAAAAGAAGGGTTACGGGTTTTAGTGGGTCGGGCTAGTAGTAGGTCGCCAGTTTGTTAAATTTATTATAAAATTTATTTATTTTTCTTTTTTTTTAAATTTCCTTTTGTTTTTTTTATCATACCAACCCCACATAACCTTGGAGTGCGGAATCCAAGGTATCTGTAGGCAGATTTCCCAAAAGTCCCTAAGCAAAAAAAAAACAAAAATAAAAATAATAATAATAATAATCCGTGCCCGGTTGGAACTTTTGTTCTAATTGGAACTTTTGTTTTACCTGGGGCGCATTAGAGCTGTTCTTTTGCGCGGGGTTGCTGGTCCTCTATCGGACGCGTGCCAGGTGGCGGATAGGTTAGCTTCCTAGAAATAGGTGGTATCGAGGAAATAAAATACTCGACGCGGACCAAAACCAGCAAACAAGAAACATCCATCATGAGCGATTGTAAAAACGAGGAAAAGTACCTGCGGGGTAATGCTACGGCTAAATCCTTCACTGGTTCCGATCGTCAAGCGCTTTCGAGCGTGAGGGCGGTGGCCAGTGGCTAAAGGATGCAGGAGGGCAACAACGCGTTGGTAGTGCCACAGATCATCGTGGACAGGTCGGAGAGACGAGGGAGTACGAGCAGCGTGACGAGTCAAGCCAGCTGCATTTCTGTCTTCAGTAATGCCTCGGCAAAGGACATTGCAAGCTGCAACCAAGATCGAGATGAATGCGTTAAGCTGCGGGAGGAAGAGGCAGCGAGCATTCTAGAAATGGAGGAGGAGGTCAGCAAGATGCTGAAGTCCTGTGAAGTCCAAAAGAATGTCAATAGGACAATCAAGGATGGACTCAGAAGCTTAACACTGCTCATAAGGGACGTAAAGGAGAAGCACGCAGCAGCTGCGAAAAAGGACGAGAGTTTCTACCAGGGTTTGACCTGGTCTGAAGAAGCTAGACAAGATCGCAGAGTTAGAAGAGATCGTTGTAACGCAATCGTGTTGAGAAACGTCGTCTTAGATGCTCAGAAGCGGAAGAGAAGTGATCCTGAGCCTGCGAAGGATCCAAAAAGGAAAAAGGAGGAGAAACCAAAAAAGACTGGAGGCAAGGGGAACAAAACGGTTCCAAAGCCAGACCAGGTCAAGAAGGGAAGAGCCACAGTGATCGTTAAAGTGGCCGAAGGAAAAACTTTCGCTGAAGTGCTGGCGAAGGTTCGAAGGGAGGCTGACCTGGAGGCCAGCCAGACAAGGGTTGTGGGAGCTTTACCCACTAAAAAGGGAGACCTTCTCATTAAAATTGGAGGGTCTTCAAACAAGAAGCTGTTCACCGAGGAGGTGACAAAGGTAATCGGCGATTTGGGTAAGGTGCAGATGGCGGATCGGCGAACTACGCTGGAAATCCGCGACATGGATGCCCTTACTGAGAAGGAAGATGTTGAGGATGCCCTGGAGAAAGTTTCCACAGTTCCAGCTGGAAGCAGAAAGGCGACGGTTCTTGGGCCAAATAAGCGAGAAGTGAAACTCGCTGTTGTAGTCACCAGCCAGGAAGATGCTGATAAGCTGGAGAAGGTGGGTCACGTAAAGATTGGATTCGTGTCCTGCAGGATCAGAAGTAGAGTGATGGTCAAAAGGTGCCATAGGTGTCTTGACTATGGTCATATAGGTCGAGACTGCAATGCAGTAGATAGGTCGGCTGCGTGCTTTAAGTGCGGAGAAGCCGGCCATAAGACAGCAGACTGTAAGAAGAGCCCATGCTGCTTCTTATGCAAGGCGAAGTTCGGCGAAAAGGAGAACATCCAACATGTAGCCGGATCAGGGAGTTGCAAGGTCTTCAGAACTGCCCTCGAGGAAGCAAATAAGACTTTGTCAAGGACAAGGAGAAAATAAGGCCAGAACAAGAGCGGCACGGGAGAGTTGCGCCAGCGACTACATGGAACCATTCATCTACGAAGTCTGAAGCCACTAGGTAGTTCCGTAGGTGGATAGAAGGTTCGAAACCCAGGGGAAACAAGAGGAGGTTTTAGTCGGTAGGGTGACTGCCGTTAAAAGCAGGTATATGAGGTTTCTTTTTTTTTCCTTGCATTTTGTACGAGTCCGACATACCCCAGGTAAGTGGGATCTTCCTGGGGATGCGTAAATGCATTTCCTCTTCTCCCCCGTGAATAAAAAAAAAATAAAATAAAAAGAAATAAAATAATAATAATAATAATGAATATTTTTTTTTTTTTTTTTTTGCTTAGGGACTTTTGGGAAATCTGCCTACAGATACCTTGGATTCCGCACTCCAAGGTTATGTGGGGTTGGTATGATAAAAAAAACAAAAAAGAAATATAAAAAAAAAGAAAAATAAATAAATGTTATAATAAATTTAACAAACTGGCGACCTACTACCAGCCCGACCCACTAAAACCCGTAACCCTTCTTTTGGAGCCCTTTACCCTCCCTCGGAACTGTCGTAAGACTTTAGCCTTCGAGGGTGGCGCTCCGACTCTGTCGCTAATGCGACTTTCTGCTTTTCTCTGCGGTTATCCTGCGTTAATAGTTAAAAATTTAAAACTATTTCAATATAAAAGCGGAATTAACAGCACAACAATAATAAAAAAAAAATGTTTAATCAAGTGTAAACAGTCAAAAGATAAAATTGCAAACGGATATATAAAAAAAATGAAAAAAAATAATAAACGCGTATATAATAATAATATTAAAAACATAAAACGGAATAAATTAAAATTGTATAAGGACAAATAAATCACAAAATAAATTAATAAAAAACAAACGAATAAATTAAAAGCTGTTTAAATTACGCTTTTTGGCGGCCGTCGAGATCCTTCCTCGACATAACCGAGATTATGAAGTTCTCGACTTGCCGCCAATTCTCCTCTGACTGGGTCATCAGCGATACCATGTTCTCCGGTGTAACTTGACTGTTTACACCTTCGAACATGGCCTGCCTCTCCAAGTCCCATTTCTTGCATGAGAAGAGGGTGTGCTCCGCGTTGTCCTCAGGGAACTGGCAATATGCACACACCTCGTCCTCGCGTAATTTAAAGCGACACAGGTACGAGTTAAAACACCCGTGACCTGTGAGCGCCTGAGTCATATAATAGGAAACCTGACCGTGTTTCCTATTTATCCAGGTGGCGAGTGCCGGGATAAGGCGATAAGTCCATCGACCTTATTCCTCACCATCCCATCTTTCTTGCCATCTTTCTATGAGCCTGTGCCTCGCTTCTTTGCGGATCAGGCCCTTGCTTAGTCTTAATTCCTCATTCAAGGAACTGCTTTCTTTAGAAAAGAGAAACATTTCTTCCCTTTCTCTCGCCAAAAGATCTGCTGGCGGGACACTCGCAAGGACCTGCACAGCACTCGTAGATACCGTCTTATATGCAGAGATGATACGCGTTGTTATCGATCTCTGCGCAGACAGTATCTTTTCACAGATGGTCACACATCTTTTACTCCTCAGGGATGGGGCCCACGCTGGTGCTGCATAGAGCATTTTAGCGTGGGCGACACTCGCCACCAGTCTTCTTTTTTGTTCACGGGGTCCGCCAACATTTGGCATTAGCCGTGAAAGATTAGCCGCACACTCGATCGCCTTATTTGACGCCGTAGCCATGTAGTGGTGGAAGTTTAACCTTCCATCTAACTCCACACCAAGATATTTAATTTGCTTACTCCACTTGACCTCGAATCCGTCTATCACGATTCGTGGGAGCTCATAACCACGTCTGTCTGTGACCAGCAGTGCCTCGGTCTTTTCCAGGGCCATTTCAAGACCTCTGGTATCCAGCCAGCTTTTAGCTAGTCGCAGACATTCGTTCACCAATGTCCCAAGAGCCTCCTCACTTTCGGCAGTGCACACGAACAACGCGTCGTCCGTAAAGCCGATGATCACCGCACCTTCGGGCAGATCCATTCGCAGAAAATCATCGTAAGATACATTCCATACAAATGGACCCACCCTCGAGCCTTGAGGAGCCCCACGCTGCATCTCTTCCTTGAGAGTGCAGGTGTCTCCCTCATATATAACCCACCTGTCGCTAAGATAATTATCCATTATCCGCAACAAGTAGGGCGGCATGTTTTTCTTTTCCATCGACTCGATGAGATCTTTCCATCTTGCGGAATTAAACGCGTTGGAAACCAAATTGGTGATCGGATAGACGATTCTCTTCGGTCAAGTGGCTTTGCATTCTCTGCATAACCATATCCTCTAGAAGTTTACCCATCGTATCTAGCAGGCATATAGGCCTGTACGATAAAACCTTATCTAGAGGTTTTTCACCTTTCCTTAGGAGGACTAACCTCTATCGCTTCCAGTCGCGGAAGAACTCTCCTCTCTCAAGGCAAAGATTGAAGCATCGAAGCAGAATCTGGGGTGAAGTGTCGATTACCAACTTTAGGATCTCGTTACTTATCCCATCGATTCCAGGCGCCTTGCCTGTTTTCAATCTTTTGC